ATTTTTGGAGCAAAAACAGAGTTCTAGAGAGAGATTAATTGAATTGACGAAGAACAAACCCTAGGAGCTATTTGGAGTGGATTTCTCACCATTGAAGCCCAGATTGCGCCTCCTAGAGTGAAGATTAACATCCCACAGAAGATTATACACATCATTATGAGTATAACTGCTTTGATTTATGCTTTCCTCTCTCTTTCTCTATGGAGTAAACATCTCTCTCAGTTGGGTATGAAGAACCCTAGTTCCATGTGTTAGGGATCTTGTTATTAATGAATTTTTTGGATGTTATACTGGATGATTTTAATCAATTGAGTCATGTTTATTGAGTCATTTGAATCCTGATCAAGTTCTCTTGTCTTTTGTTTTAACCTCTGATAGATAGAATGTGATTAGATTGATAGAAATTCTTCAATTGATAGTAGTGAATTGATTGTCCGAGAGTCCTTCAATTCACTGTTTTGTACTAGAGTTTATTCCAAGTAGTAGAGATCTGTGTGAATCACTTTAGCAGTATCTCGGTGAAGGCTAGTCGTCTGCCGGGTATTTTGTCTAAGAGTGCTTGGTTAGCTTCAGAGATTGCAAGCTATTTTTGGATCTTCCGCAGTCTAATCAACAGTAAACCAACCAAAAGAAACTAAAACTTGGACCTAATTAAGGAGATAGGGAGACTTATTCCTGAGTGACTCTTCTCTTGCTTTAGAAAACCGAATAACTTGTTGCTTTCTTTTTGCTTTAGTTTAAACACATTCTCACTCAACTTTTTCCGCTAGATAATAGAATTATGGAGTAGGCAGTACATCTAGGCCCCAGGTTGACATTTACTACTTGTCCCACTATAATACATTTACATACTACGATTGCACTTGATCGCAATTTGGTGTTGTGTTTTAGCGAGTCATGTTTTTGGCGCCGTTGTCGGGAACTTCTAGGTTATTGGAGAAATGAGAAGATCTGTTACATTAGCATTTACTTTTCTGATTTTGTTTTCCTCCACCTATGTGCCTTCATGAGTTGTGTCTGCACTCTGTGTGCCGGTAGCGCATGAGCCATAGCCAGTCGGGATATCTTCAGCCTCTAGACCACGAGCTTGAACGAGTTTGCAGTCAGTTTAAGAGAGCACTAAAGGCGCAAATAGCTATGAAGGTAGCATTCTCAACTGAACATTGCGCAAGAAGGAGAAATGGGTGGCCCCAATGATGCTGAAGCAATTATCCCTGATGAGCATACTATGGGGTACTATTGGACCGCAGGGCTGAGGATATGAGGTCAAGCATCCAACATCCTCAAGTTGCTACCAACAACTTTGAGGTGAAGACCTCTGTCATCACAATACTAAAGGGTTTTGTGGCGTTCATGGGAATATGGACCGCCATGGGCAACAAGTTCTTGACCCACTACCATCCCCCATCTAAAACTGCAGATATGCAGAAGGAGATCACTCATTTTGCTCAAGAGGAGGATGAGACCATCCAGGATGCTTGGGAGAGATGCCAAGGTCTCTTCCTGAAGTATCCCAACCATGCGTTCAATGATGACTTCAAGGTGGGCACTTTCTATCGGGCTCTCTTTCTCGAAGACAAATAGCATATTGACTCGGTCTGTGGCGGGAACATGCTGTGGATTCTGTGGACACCCAGTCATCTCAGTTGGTGCAGGTAGTTACTAGACTGGTCATGGAAATGGATCGAAATGGGATGGTTACTGGTACAGGGCAGCATCAGGCGATGTGTTGCCAGTGGTGTGAGAGCAACCACGACACGCTTGAAGACTACCAAGCAATGAGGGAATCTACTACATCTCAAGAGTAACTGTACCTTATCGGCAATGCTAGGCTCTTCGACCCCTACAACAACACTTATAACGAGGGGTGGCGCCAACATCCTAACTTTTCTTGGAGTGGTAGCAGTAATCCTAAGCCACGTGGTTCGCAAGGACCCCCAGGCATCCAGAAACCACCGTACTAGGCCCGCCAAAGCCAGTTCCAACATTTGGAGCAACTACTTTATCTGCCCAAACAGGTGCAATTTCCTCAATAGCAGTAGCAACAATTTCAGCAGATAGCAGAGCCCCAACAACCCTCGTACATCATGATCCGATGGCCGAGCTGTGACATCGTGGGAGCCCTTGCCAGCACCAACGCTAAAAATTTTGGCAATGTGGAGTGTTTCATGGAGAACACAAAGGTTGTTTTGCAAGACATCTAGCTCTAGCTTGGAAGTGTACATACACAAAGCAGTGTTGCAAAGGGCTCCGAGTACCTTACGCGGTCATACCATACTTAATCCGAATGACCCGGGCGCCCACTTGAATGTCATTACCACTAGGAGTCGGAAGGTGACTAGAGATTCTTGTCCAAGCCGGACAGGGGAAGAAAGGCCAGCTTCAGCATTTCCAGATGATCAGGAAGAAAGGGAGAAGGAGAAAGGTGTGTCTGCTCCTAAGCCACAACCAGTGATGAAGGAGTATGTTCCTCAACTCCCTTCCCTACTCGGCTTCACAAAGACCGACTAGAGACTGAGTATGCCAATTTCATGGCAATGCTGAAGCATGTGAACATCACTATGGCTTTTATTGAGGCACTGTCGAAGATGCCCAAGTACGCAAAGTTCATGAAGGATCTCCTCACCAACAAGAGGAAACTTGGGGACCTGACCACTGTGGTGCTCAACGAGGAGTGTTCAGCCATTGTGCAGAACAAGCTCCCATAGAAGAAGAAGGACCCAGGTAGTTTTACTATTACGTGCTCTATTGGTACCCTGCATATCGAGAATTCCTTAGCGGACCTAAGTGCTAGTATTAATGTTCTGACATATCAACTTTTTTAAGAAACTAGGCTAGGTGAACCAACTGCAACTAGAATGAGTATCCAGTTAGCTGATTAGTCCATTGTTTATCCTAAGGGCATCGTGGAAGACCTCCTGGTTAAGGATGACAGATTCTCTTATCCTATGGACTTTATTGTCTTGGACATCAATTAGGACATAGAAGTGCCCCTTATATTAGGTAGGCCCTTCCTGGCCACTGTGAAGGCGCTCATTGATGTGCACACTGGGACCTTGGTTTTGAGATATGCGAGGAGCAGATAACATTTTCCATTGCTAATAATATGACTGCTCTCTCTCCCGTGCATGCTTTATCGCACCAGGTGCAAGAGTCTGTCGTTTATCCTTCCGTGTCTCCCATTTTGCAAGACTCTGCGGCTCCTCCCCCTCCACCACTCCATCTCCCTTGGTCGCAATGAGCGGAGTGAATGGAGGAGTGGCGTCCAAAGTTGCAGAAAACCAAGCCTGCCCAAAAGAAAGATGAAGACCACTATGAGTTGGTCCTAACCCTTTAGCCGCAACCACCCTGGCCATCTGAGTATTCACTCGCTTGCATCCTACCAGATGGTCAGGCCGAGTTAGCCTATGTTGATGATCGTGGCCTCCGCGTGAATGGCCACCATTTGAAGATGTTCTCAAGAGCGATATGGATCCACTCTTGGAGACACCTGTTCTTACACCACTATGAGCATCCACCATTCACGTCCAGCTAAAATACGGTAATGAATCGCTTGTGGGGAGGCAACCTCACCTCGGTTTGCATTTCTATCATTTGCCTCTTTAGATTTTTTGGTCTTTCGAGTCTTTTTTTCTACTTTGAGTCTTTCTAGAGTCTATCTCGTAGCATCGGTGTCATATTATTGCCTGTGGTTGTATGGATTTTTGAGCAGGAGCCCGAACATGTTGATTGTTTAAAAATGCGGTGTTTCAAGGGTAGCAAGACACGTTCGGCAGTAAAATCGCAGGAAAAGGGAGGTGAAACACGATCGTGTTTCTTCCTATCTTTGCTCGTGTTTCCCAGAGCTCGGCTCTTTGCTCTCGGGTTCAAAAACACGAGCGTGGCACTAGTAAAACACGAATGTGTTTTACTTTATGCTTGCCAGTGTTTTACTTCATCTTCTGGAAAATCTCGGCTTAAAAACCACGGGCGCGACACTAAGGAAACATGATCGTGTTTCCGACTATGTCTGCCCGTGGATCCACCTCGTCTCAGTTTGTGTCTACCCGTGTTTGCCTATAAAAAATAAAAAAAAAACATAAATAAAAACCGAGATTGCAAGCAATGGAACTATGGTATGTTTTCTCTATCACCTAGTGTGCTTTGATGACTTTAGCTCTGTGCCTTTGGACTGGTCCCCTTCGAGTCTCCTGTCCTAACTGTTCCGCTCTCTAGTGGCCGCGTCCAAACACCTTGTATCAACAGGCTTTTCGATACAAGAATTTACCATATGCATATCTATCTTGATCCGCCAGACATATTACAGACATAGATTCCCTTTGATATGTTATACAAAGCAGAAAAAGATACGGTCCTCCCACCTACTGTTGGGAGGACATCCTCCCAGCGGAGAATATGATATTTGTGTAATGATAATATACTATACGATATACAGGAATACATATTCGTCCAACAAGAAAAATGTATTCTTATAATAGATAGTAGTATGAAATCAAACTTTCAAGAATATGATATTTATGTTATGAGAATATAGTATTCTTGAAGGCTTGATGATATTTATGTTATGAGAATATGATATTCTTGAAGGCTTGATTTCATACTACTATCTATTATAAGAATACATGTTTCTTGTTGGACGAATATGTATTCCTGTAAATCGTAAACTATATTTTTATTACACAAATATCATATTTTTCGTTGGGAGAACGTCCTCCCAACAGTAAGTGAGGGGACCATATCCGATCCATATACAAAGGCAGATCTCAAATCCTGAGATCTCCGTAGGAGACTCCACTAAACTAACATCCACCTCCTCGAATCAAAATCGAACAAGATATTGGTGACAATATTATACTAATCGACCAACCCAATCAATTTATTCAAATTAGTGCAATTGGGCGCATAGTGCATACTAATCTTTGGGGACCATCTCATATGACGTCAAGGATGGGTTTTTTACTTTGCTTTTCTTTATCGATTTTTGGGAAAGCAGGTAATACTCGTATTTTGTCTCTTTCTTGTGATTGATTCTTGTTGGATTTACAATGAAACGGTTGGTAGAGAAGGTTGGAGGTTTGAAAGAACACCGTTAAAAACCGAAACCAGATTTCAACGAGGACATCTAAAATCGAGGACATTCTTTTTGTTGCATATAGAAATACAGTGGTGGCCGGCCTTCCCCGCAAACTCTAACAATCAATTTGAAGCTAGTTGAGTTAGTTGTCGTAGGTGCGGCACTCATCTGTCTCCGGGTTGTCCTTGCAGTAGGTCTCGAGCGGGTCGGATACCTTCTGCTTGTCCCGGGCGTGGCTCGCGGCGGCGCTCAGCTCCTCCACCTCGTCCCACGCCGCCACGCACTCCCCGCTGGCCGGATCCTCCGCGCAAGCCTCCTCCGCTCCTTTGATGCTCTCTTCCACCTTGCTCTGGATCTGATCCGGCGCCGCCATCACCGGTCCGAATCCTCCTCTCCCATTCTTCACGGACAGCTGCTGCTTCATCGACAGAAACGCTTGCGGCTGAGCGCTAGGAACTTCTCCCATCACCTTCCAGCTAGCCGGGACAGTCCAGATGGACGCCATGGCTGCCATTTCTTCTGATTATATTCTCTCTCGCTTTGAAAGGGGGATCTGGATCGGACTTTATGTGCTTGCTTTGCGGGATGGCGTGTTTACTTTTTGGGGCCGTAACGAGAAATCAGCTATACATATAATTGGGAAGTGGGAGGAATTTGCGACGTCCGTTTCTTATCTGCTCGTGGCTTATGGGCGGTCGCCACGTATCGGGCAAGACAAGATATTATTCTGGACTCAAACGTTGTGATATTTTTATTTGAAATATCCGTCTATCCCTACGGATAGGGGTAAAGAAAAGAAAAGGGTTAATAGCATTTTCTATCTTTCTATTATTACAAACTAGTTTTTTGGTTCGCGCTTTGCGGCGGTAAGATTTACGTAGACCGATATACACTTGTTTAATTGATATATAAAAAATAACTATCACATCAGGCAAGAAGAGAGCACATTTGATTAAACTATTATGTAGAAGTTAACTTAAGCCTTTGTGTAGTGCAAAATGGATTATATGATGAATATTGTAGTTAATATAATTAAAGTTTGTTTCATTGTTACATAAGAAATAACTATTATTTGGTAAGTTTGACGTAATGTATATGTAATTTCATAACTATTAAAGATCGATGTTAGATAAATTATATGTAATGTATGGTCTAATAATGAAATCAAATTATGAAAATTATCACATTTGATTAAAGAATTATGTAAAATTTAACTTATCCTACGAAATCTTTACATAATGTAAATTGATATGGTGAATATTTTAGTTAATGTAATTACAGTTGTTTTGAACTTACCTTACAAAATTTTGTGTAATACAAATTGATGGAAGATAATAATAAGGAATTAAGTTATGAACTTTATTTACAGAATTAAGTTAATAATCAAGGTATTCATGAAATTGAAGATGCAACAATTAAATCAAATATATTTAGTAGTTACATCATGTAATAGAGTTTGGGAAGCTTGTACACGCAATTTCTCATTTGCTTGTGCATACAGCCAGCCATAGGTTATAACTCAGCCGAAGTTTTCATCGAGACATGTTTTTTTTATTACTCAGGAACCTCAATCTCATGTGCCATTTTTTGGCAGTCGGGTCTACTAAACCTGGAGAGTACCTGAGTTTGTTATCTAAACATGACTTGGTACTAATTAAGCCTCTATTCATTTAAGAAGGCGAAACAAACTTTTCTCAAATTAGAATAATCACATACTAAATTTTATTGTAAAGTTTGTCTTATGTGTTTGAATGAAATTGTTCATCATTGTAAAAAAATAGGAAGTATGACAACAAAAAGCAATATATAATAATAGAAAATCATTGTATTTGGTGAGTTAGAAGTTGCTTAAATCATGCATCATCATTAGGAGTTATTGGAATTTGAGAACATGTCCTTTGGCCATGAGAATTAGAATATAAAGTTCCAGTTGTTCAATGAATAATGTTATTTGGATAATTACAAATCAAATTTAATTTCGTATTTGACAAATTGATGTTAATATAAATGCTTGCAAATATAATTTAAGAACTTCACACACATTTAATTGATAATGAACAAATGAGAGAGAGAGGAATTTGAGAACATGACCTTTGGCCATGAAAATTAGAATATAAAGTTGCAGTTGTTCAATGAATTATGTTATTTGGATAATTACAAATCTAAAATTTAATTTCGTATTTGACAAATTGATGTTAATATAAATGCTTGCAAATATAATTGAAGAACTTCACACATATTTAATTGATAATGAACAAATGAGAGAGAGAGAGTGGGAAATGGGAATGATGAAATCGGGATCAGTTGTGGGAGAGGGAGGTTGATTGATGGGTCATACGAAAAGTAAATGGGTAAAAACTAAAAAGTAACGAAAAAGAGAGAAGGGATGTACGAAAAAAAAAGGTGGCAGGCGAGTTGTCAAATCAACGGTCATACTTGCTTAGCCTAATATGGTGAACTCAGGCTCACATAAAAACGCCCACATGTGATTATAAAGTCCTATCGTGAACAGTAAATTCCGATTTTTTCTTAAGGAACAGTAACCTCGATTTTATGGTAATTTTTAAGGACTTGCGTTTTAATAATTCTAATTAACAAACATTCCCTTTTACTATTATTTCATACAAACCTACTCTTCAATTATTGCAACCTAACAAACATACACTTCGATCATTATTTTCGTTAGTTGACCGTTATAAAGCATACAAAATAACTATATAGCCCTTTAATTTTAATTATTATATTATATGCACAATAATTGGCACGAGAAGAAAACACTAAACATTTTTTTAATATTTTCCGTTTTCTATCGGTCGTACCCTTCAATTCTTTTTTCTTCCACTGGGAAGGAATCATTTCCCACTTTGTGTCCTTATTTTCCCAATCAATTTAAACAGATCAATAAAAATCTAAATTAATAAATTACCAAATCAAATAGTCTGAATCTCATAGCCCCATCTTCACTTAATCTCCTCCTCCAGAATTGTGAGAAATTCCTTATGTTTCCTTTTCTGAGATTGGAGCTCTAAATCAATGGGGTGTGATTCTGGCATTTGAATGTGAAATCTATTTGATAAAGAGGAATGGTTGGCGGCTCTTCTCCTTCTTCCATCCTTCTGTCTACACAATCAATTGCCAACAATGGCATCTAGCAGTGGCGCTTAAATCTCTACGATTGAACCCTTTGCGCGTTGCAACATCCCATGTCGTCCCGCTGCGCCTCTACCGCTTCAATCCCCCATGAAGAAGAATATGGATTTTCACCGCCATGTTCGATACCAATCTGCACTTCTTAGCCAACACGAGGAGCAGGAGCAGAGTCTTTGATCGGAATCCAAGGCTACAAGAAATATTCGACTCCCTAACGGCTTAACTTACCTTCCAATAGAGAATCAACATCATATGTTGAAGATTGATTGAAGCTTCTTGTCGATGAAGAGCAAGAGCCATGGAGCTGTTCTTGATGCGTTTGTATTGTTTGGGAAATTGAAGGGACGGAGAGTGAGAGTGGGGAAGCGATAATTAGAATTATTAATTTATTTGTGTTTTTCTTATGTTGCAAATCACTGTATATATATATATATATATAATAATTTAGTTTAAACGGGCAATATAGTCATTTTGTGTGCCCTTTAACAGCCAACTAACGAAATTATTGACAGAAGGGTATGTTTGTTACGCTGCAATAATAGAGAGTACATTTGTGCAAAATAATAGTAAAGGGCATGTTTGTTAATTTGTAATAGTAGAGGGGCATAAAATGCTATTAACCCAAAAAGAAAAAAAAAAGTATCCGGCTTAAGATAGGTTCAGTAACCATTGGTCTGATCTATGAGTAACTAAATCTGGACATTTAGATCTAATTGGATCCAGAAAATTTAAATCTAAAGGTTGTTAATTTAAAACATTTTATTTTTCTTAGTTTTTTTTAATTGGCTCTTATCTTTTTCGTTCTAACTCGGATTTCAATTTTTTTTTTGCACAGATGGAATGAGTTCGTTGTGCTCTACAAAATGAGATCAATTTTCAATATATTTCGAGAAACTTTTTTTTACTAACTACATACCATATGATCTCTTTTTCGTTTTCAAGTCGTTTTTGAAAACGTTTGCTCGGAAGAAAAGAGTTCATCATGATCTATTGGATCTATAAATTTCTAGGTGAAAAAATACTGGACAAAAAATTACCATACTTTACCACTATGGTATGTGGGTGATAACTTGTGGTAAACAATGATGAAAGTCGTAAATGACAGTTAGTATACTCCTACTATCATGTATTCAACCTTCTTACCATATTGGTATGTTCATACCATCATGGTACTCTTTCTTACCATATGGTATTAAATAGGAGCATACCATATGGTAATGACTAGTAAAAAATTATTCAATTTTTTGTACTAAAAATATATCAAAGTGGATATCATTTTAAAGAGTACATTTAATTTGATTTATCTGTGCAAAAAAAATTAAATTTCGATTTAAAACAAGAGAGAAATCGTCCGTTAAATATTAAAGGGGAAAAGATAAAAGACTTTCCAGGAGAAAGAGGGATACTGATGTCATGATGATGTGAACGGGTTACTCTTGGTTACTGACCATAGGGTTACTAACCTAATCCATTCCCCGAATCATCTCACCCCTCCAACCAAACACAACCTAATTTATTCGTATTTATCGTTAAGGTTTAACATTGGGCGAGTGTGACATGACTCTGTGTTACGAGTTTGCAATAGACTAGCTTCTTCACCTTCATCTCCGGCTTAGCTCGGGGGGAGGAGTGTCTCATTTTTGGTGTATATGGCTCTCCTCAACTAATCCCTAGACGTGAGATGTGGGAGACCATGCGGAGGTTGGCGGGTCATGTTGATATGCCTTGGCTCCTCATTTGAGACTTCAACACCATGCTTAGCCCAAACGACAAGCAAGGTGGTGCAGACTTTAATATGGCGCCAAAGTGGGGAGTTTCGTTCAGCGGTGGAAAATTGTTGTCTACTGGATATCGAGTATGTTGGGCTGCAGTTTATGTGGTATGGCCATCGGGGTCCCAAGGAATGCCTCGATCGTGCTATCTTCAACATGGCCTGGCTACTGAGCTACCCCGATGCAATTACTTGCCAGCTCCAGAAAGTTAAGTCGGATCACAGGCCTATCCTAACAATGTCTGATTGGCATAAGCAACATCCAAAAGGGAGGAAACCCTTCCGTTTCCTAGCCCCTTGGCTACTTCATTCGAACTTTCCTCGTGTTCTAGAAAGTGGATGGTAGAAAGGTCGAGATTACGGAGATTGCCTGGAGAGCCTTACTGTGGAACAGGAAGAATGGAACCGAAATACTTTTGGCAACATCTTCTACAGGAAATGTAAGTTGCTGGAGAAGTTACAACGGCTCGAGATACGCAACGAGAGATCACCAACAACCAACGCATCAAAGAGGTAGAATTAACTCGAGTTCACCTTCATTAAGTCCTCAAACAGGAGGAGCTACTTTGGTACCAGAAGTCTCGATCGCAGTGGTTTAGAGAGGGAGACTGTAATACAAGGTTTTTTCACCTCTCTACACTTAAGAGGCGTTGCTTTAACCATATTCGCAAACTGAAGTCCGAGGATGGTACATGGGTTGAAGACGAAGAGGAGCTTAAAGAATTAGTTCGAAACTTCTTTGTCGATCTCTACAAAGAATGATCGACTATGCCTGAACTCCTACCGGTGCATTTTCCCGAAATGGATTCGAGAATGGCCCCCTTAGAGATGGATATCAATTCAATGGAAGTCCTGGCAGCAATAAAATCGATGGGCCCGAGTAAAGCTCCGAGAACAAATGGATACCAACCCCTCTTCTTTCAGAGATGTTGGGAAACAGTAGGCGAGTCTTTCTTGAGCTTTATTGCCCAGTGCTTTCTGCAGCCGGAGATAATAGCTCAAGTGAATGCTACCCTACTAGAGCTTATACCCAAGAAACAAAGCCCCTCTCTCGTGTCTGAGTTTCGGCCTATAAGTCTGTGCAACGTGTCCTACAAAGCTTTAACCAAATATCTCGCCAACCACTTAAAGTCGTTGATTCCTCAGCTCGTGAAGCCGTATCAACAAGCTTTGTTCCAGGCCGCAGTATCCAAAATAATATCATTATACTGCAACAGGTGGTTCACTCGATGCAGACGCGAAAGGGTAAAACGGATCATATGGTGATCAAGATAGATCTGGCCAAAGCTTACGATAGGTTGGATTGGAGCTTCATCGCCACCACGCTAGTTGGGGCTGGCTTACTAGATAAATTCCTATAGGGAACGGTGAGTTGCGTAACCTTACCGTCGTTCAAGGTGCTCTGGGGCGGTAATTGCACGAAACCCTTCACTCCCACGAGGGGCCTTCGGCAAGGCTACCCACTCTCCTCGTACATATTGACGTTGTGCATTGAGCGCCTATCTCATCTCATTCAGGATTTGGTTCAAAAGAAAACATGGCGACCCGTTCAAAAGAAAACTCGGCATCCAGTTCCTCCTGCAGTAGATGGGACCAAACTGATCTGGTGTAGGGGCAATCCCTAATAATATGCTCGCATAGAATTGACCACTTCCTACAAAACACAAATGTTGGGAGTAATGTGCTGCTCTGGCAGGAAACTAGTTTGCGTCTCATGCACCACACTCGACATCAGAGGTTTGAGCCTCTCTGCCAGGCACTTGGTTATCATCTTGTAAGTCACGTTGCACAGACTAATGATGCAGAACTACTCGATCAAAGATGGACGTCCCACCTTAGGGATCAGCGCAACCACGGTCACATTCACATCCTGATCTCGAGATGGGTTAGTCCAACAATTTTGCACAAACTCAAGGACTGCTGGACCTACCAAACTCCAATCCTATTGAAATAATAGTGGGTTCAAGCCGTCTTTTCCTGGTGCTTTCAAAGACCTCATCGCTTTGATGGCTTGGTGAACCTCTTCCACGGTGAATTGCATGTCCAGAGGGAGCCATGCTTCAATCGGCAGTTCAGGGAAATGCGCCAGCAAACTGTGGTACGTGGCTCCATCATCGGTGTATTGGGCTTCAAAATATAGCCTTGCCATCTCCACAAGAGTAGCCTGCTCTTCCACCCACTCACCCAAATTATTCTTCAATGCTACCACTCTATTACACCTCATTCGATTAATGGTTCTCGAGTGGAAGTACTTCCTATTGCGATCTCCAGAAGCAATCTAGTCGAGGCAAACTTTTTGACACCATAGTAGCTCTTCCTGCAACAGGATGTCTTCGAGTTCCTCTCTCACTTGTGTGAGCTCAACATCATCCGAATCACCCCCACTCTTCTTTAAATCCGCTCGATTTTCCCAGCAGAAAGTTCTTCTTCCGCAAAATGTGTCCAAATACATTCACGTTCCAGTCTCTAGCTTCTTTAGTAAATTCTGTAATTGACGTTAGCAGGTCGCTTCCACGTCCCCATGATCGACCTACCATGTCAACAAAGTCTTCATGCATAACCCATGCATCTAGGAACCTGAAAGGCTTCAGCCCTACAGCTTGGAAATTCGGACATAACCTGACAAGTATAGGCCGATGATCGTTACGAACCCGGGGAAGGTGACAAACCGTGGTGTCTGGAAAGGTGGTGGCCCAGGCGGAGTTTGCAATACCTCGATCAAGGAGCTCCTTGACCCCAGCTTGAAACCAGGTGAACGATGGTCCTTTGAAGGCGAGATCGATCAATCCAGAATCAAGCACACACTCCTGAAACTTGCGAGTTCGGCTGGCATCAAATGGGGCTCTGCCAAGCTTGTCTCTTGGTTGAAGAATTGAATTAAAATCCCCCGCGAGGAGCCATGGTTGTGCCAGGGCCAGATTAGCATAAACAACCATGAGGAACCAGCTTTGCAAACCACACTGCACTTAGACATGGAGGAACTGGGCTGATCTATCAGTTCTGTAATAGTGACCGATCCAGAATCCCACGCCAGCCAGATGCCTCCCGCAACTTTCATCGCTTGTATGGTCCGGAACTGGGCTTATCATAACCCAATTTTCGAAAACTTCAATGGCCCAATCACCACTAATTCTCGACTCTACAATGATAACAATACTCGGATGGTAACATCGCTTGTATTCCTTAAAAACCCACAGGAAGCATTTGCTTCCTGCTCCCTTGAAGTTCCATGAAAAAATATTAACCATAAATACGTTATGGACGGGCCGGGGGACCCTCTGGCCTCAGATGGGATCACTTTAGAGAACTTATAGTATTTTCCACAGGTTGATCATGCACATCACGCTGCCGCAAATCATCTTCACCACCTTTCGCAATCATCAGTATATCCGGTGGTATGGACTTAGACTTTGGGTGTTGGGGGTCACCCAATTCTGCTGGTCTTTTTCAGTCATCTCAACTTGGGTGGTTAAGCCCTGCATGGCATGCGTGTTTGGAGCCACGTGACTTGCAACGTGAGTAGTTGCGGTACAGTCAGGTTGGATAGGTATCATTGTTAGCTTTGGACGTGTAACTTGGGGTGGAGAGTTAGCTGCTTCGGCCGCATTGCCTGCATTCAGAGTGGGGGTTAATTATGTGGTTGTTGACTATGGCACCTTCTCTTTATTCTTCATAGCAGGGGGCTCCCCTCTCTGTGGGTGTACCACCACCTCTGATTCATTCACAATAAGTGGGGTAGTGGGCTGCTCCTCATTAGCCACGATATCGATGCATGAACCCGAGGCTGTCCCTTTAGAAAGTTGTTTTTCAGTATTACGGCTGGACCCTACTGGCCTAGCTCCACTATTTTGCTTCTTGGTTCGTGCTCTTCTCTTCGCTATCATCCACTCACCATAGAGGCTTTCAGGCTCCTTTGTTACTGGGGCAACAGGGGTGGGTGTAGGTTCCTCTGTTTCCATCGTTGTTCGTGGTGTCGCGCAATAGCCTTGGTTGTGCTTGAAATATGTGCCACACTATAAGAAGATCTTCTCAAGACCCTCATACCGGATGTAGTACTTCGTCCCGTGAGTCGTGAATTGTGATAGCAATGGCTTTGTTATATCCACTCGGTTGCATACTCGAGCATAGTCACTACGTGCGTTGGTGCTGGTTGTATGATCGACACGTATCGGATTGCCGATGCGGTGACCAATCTTCATGACTGATATCGAATGTAAGTAATGAATTGGCAACTCCCGCAACCCAGCCCTAACTAGTGTAGAGGAAATCTCATGTTCATAGGGGTCAAAATCCTTCGTCCAAGGATGCACTATTAGGTAGTTGTCTTCGATCAACCAAGGGCCTCCTTTCACCGCTCTCTCCTAATCCACTCCACTTGTGAAGCGTACTAGAAAATACTCATTCTTAGCATATGTAACTTGGATTGATCATCATTGTCCTACCTATCCATCTAGACTGTGTTGCTACAGAGCCTTCGCGCCGCCCTCATCCTTGTGCCCCAAGCTGTCGGTTGAGGTATCGGTGAGGAGAGTAGACTTTGACTTCCCTATTGCATCGTCTTGATTTCCTCCTCTCCAACACGTTCAGCTTCGAGTGAGTTCGAGGTTTGTTTTGCCCTCTTTTTCATATGCAAACATTATCTAGCAGATTGGTTTTGGTGAAACCAAAGGTCTAAAACTAAATTGCTTTGCAAAGGCAAAATGGATTTAAAACTAGCTGAGAAAGTTTCACCCGGGTGTTGCTCCCCCTAGCCAACGATTATGACTTGAAGAATCGAACGATCGTGTGTGGTTAGGGGGCCATAAACTGCAGGGAAGTCTAACAAGCAGCCAAAGCTACCCTCCTAGCCTCTAGGTTGAGGAATGGGATACGAACCAAGCCACTAATGTGACCCTCTCAACCTATCAACTAAATAATGGTTAGACTTCACCCTCGCATTGGAGTTCGACGGCCACCCATAACCAAATCCTAAGTGCTAATGCAAAATATGAGGTTTTCCCTTTAACTAACCTAGAATAGGAGGCATAAAATGCCCAAGGAAACCCATCTCTAATAGAGCCTCTTAGGTTAAGGAGGGTTCTCTCTAAATTAGCCTAGGAGGCATTGAATGCCCAAGGAAACCCATCAAGAAATGAGCCTCTTAGGTTAAGGAGGGTTCTCTCTAAACTAGTTTAGGAGCAATTGAATGCCCAAGGAAACCCTGCTCGAATCGATTATCTTTGGGTAAAGGAGGGTTCCTCTCTAAACTAACCTAGGAGACATGAAATGCCCAAGAACACCCATCTCAAATTGAGCCTCTTAACCTAAGGAGGTTTCCTCTCTAAACTAGGCTAGGAGGCATGAAATGCCCAAGAACACCCATCTCAAATTGAGCCTCTTAACCTAAGGGGGTCTCCTCTCTAAGCTAGGTTAGAAAGGCAATTAGATTGATAGGCTTTCACACAACACAATCATTTATGAATAATACCTCCACATTCACATTAAAACAAAACCACACACAAATCATTCAGTTCAGACAAACATTCACATAATTGTAGCTAGGGTTTACAAACACCCAAGTGAAAGAAGGGACTACTCCATGGTAGGAGAAGGGAAAACACAAGACAGGGAAAGGGAACCCATCAAGAATATGCAAGCCTTATTCCTTGTGCTGAAGAAATCCTCCCTTTGGGGGAGGAATTCCCAAAACCTTTCTTGGAGATGAAACCCTAGCTTTTCCTCATCTTTGGTTCGTTACTTTCTCACTCTAAAATCTAAAGAAGGAGAAGTTTCTCACACTAGGTGATATGATCCAAATTGGATCAATCCACAAGTTACGATTACTTGCCAAAGAAGCTATCTCAACTCACATGAAGAATTCTGATTTTTGGTCAAGTGTTGAAGCAGTTTGAGGTAAGCTACTTTGGAGGCTTGATTCTCACATTTGGATACATGAAAATTGGAGTTAAGAGCTTGTTTTGAAGATAAAGTTTCCATCTACAAGATGGAATGGTTTGTGTCTCCAGAAATTTTCATTAATGTTGTTTTACAATGTCTCAAAGTTGCTATCCCAAAACTGGAAAACTGCCAGAATTTGGCTAAGGTAGAAAACTAGTTTGTGAAGCCTACTACGGAGCTCAATTCGAGGAGCATGGATCTTATTCGAGTCCAAAGGCTTCCAAAACATGAAAATAGATATGTTTGTATACAAAGTGAAGGAATCAGATGAAGGATTGGAGTTATGGAAGGCCTCGAACGAATGGCACGAAGTTAGTACGAAAGCTGTTTTTGGACTGTTTGCGGGCAGCTTGTGCTTGAAGAAAAGGAGTTTGAGTCCGAATTTTGTAACCTTTTTAGAGTAGAATTTTATCTTATTTGTTTACTTGTTAATTTAGGTTTGTATTAGGTTTTCTTTTCTATAGATAGCCTTCTATTTTCGTTGTAAAAGAGAGAAGACTTTGATTAATCGAAAAGAAACCGTTTGGTTTGTTCAAGTTTGCGAACTTGTTTTGGGTTTGGTGGATTCCAAACTTGTTGAGATTGTGTATCGATTGAATAGTCACTTCAATAGTGGCTGAACAACTACCCTTCTATATCATACAAGCTTTCCCCAGGTGTGGAATTGTCCGTTGGTTCCGTTTTATCCAAATTTCGTATTAAGAACGCGTTGTTCTTGATTCGAGTTCAATCGATTCTTTGATTGAATCGTTAGTTGCATTACTTTGATCACATACAACCCCCCAGGTCGTAGTAAGTTATATCAGAGCCCGGTTCTACACAAGGGCGAAGGAGAAGAAGAGATCGGTTGTTTTGATATAGCAGAATTCGAGTTCCAAACACCGGGCTCCCCCTGTTCGTGTTTTGCAGATACTTTTTTGTATTTGAATTTCGATGGTAATTTCAGTTAAAGTAAAGGAGATGGAAAAAGGCGGAGGAGAGGCCAATAATCTGCAAATTCGTGGCCAAAAGAAGCGGCAAACAACTCCAGTTCAGCATCGAGAATCCAACGAGCAGTGAGATAACTTATTTCACAGTCGATGCGTTGTCGATGGGAAATTATTATCGCTCGTGATCAATGGAGGCTCCTGTGAAAACATTATCAGCTTATACGCCTTTCAAAAGCTCGGATTGACGATGCAAAGGCACCTTGAGCCTTACCAACTCAGTTGGATCAACGAACACGGTACGATTAATGTCACAAAAAAAGCTTTTGTATGTTTTAAACTCGACAACTATGAAGACGAGGTAGTTTGTGACGTTGTGCCAATGAATTATGTTCATCTAATGCTTGGGAGACTTTCGCAATTCGATCGAGAAGTTGCCATGATGGCCGAACCAATCAATACAAAGTCAAGCATAAAGGAAAGAAGTTTGTTCTGAAACCCCTTTCTCCGGACGAAGTTTATGGTGATTTGAAGCAGATGGAGGAGAATAGGAGCAAGGGAAAGAGCATACGAGCTCAATTATGGGTGTAGAGATGTATTGGACTTGATTTCATGGCTTTTAAAAGCTTTTGCATGTCGTTTAAGAGTATCCCCTGTCCAGAGTACTGTTTTGCGACAGAAAAACAGAGTTCAAACTCTGTTAGTTCAGCCGACGACGAGAGAGAAAGACCAGAGCAAGTCGACGCTTTCAAAACGACCCTACAGAGTGAAGGGAGGCCGGAGAGATGAGGAGAAGGTTTGGAGCATCCTGTCAGATGACGCGTTCTGATGACGCGAGCAGCAGACTCTCCAGTACGTCCAACGAAACAGGGCAGGAGAGAGACTGAATTGGTCGGAGCTGTAGGGGCAGAGTCGACCTAAACCAACGTTGCCGAAACCTTCCACAAGACCCTAGGAACTGTTTCCCTAGGATGGATCGACTCAAATATGTGTAGATTGCAAGATCAAAATCGAGTTCTAATGCCTCTGAAAATGGGCAGAGACGACAAAAGTCCGAGCTTAACGGTTGGAGCAGTTGGGCTCGAATCAAAGCAAGCCGACAATGCAGACTCGTTGGGAAGGGAAAACCGAAGCTATAGGGAGCTCCAATTGCAGTCCCGAGCACTGGGATAAAAAATCCCAATTCAGGATGGAGTCTCCTGGGTTCTGCAGTTTTGAACATCAACGGAGGCAGGAAACGGGGAAAAGATTATTCGTCAACGAAGAGGGTGAATCGAGCCGCGGCAACATTTTAGCATCACGATCGGAGGTGTGGTGAAGACGTTGGTGACCCTAAATTGGACTGGGGATCCTTGAATCAAAGACCACAAATTGTGACGAGCAAGAACGTGTGCCAAGTTGCAGTCCGACGAAATGGAAACAACTCCGATCACTTTCCAGCTCAATTGGTCGTCAAGGAAGGCATTTTTAAACCCCAGGAAGTTTTTCCAACAGTCCTGCAAGCTTCTAATATGTTGAAACAAATTAAAGAAGGATTTGAAGATGAAATTTTTCCGCCGATACTTGTGTGTGAGCATCCTTCTTTCGATCCAATTTGGGATCAATTATGTGATGTTTTTGACAAGATGAAGGATCAAGATTTGAGGGCAAAGCTTTTTGAAGAGGAAGCCTGATATGATCCAAAGTGGATCAATCCACAAGTCATGATTACTTGCCAAAGAAGCTCTCACATTTGGATACATTGAAATTGGAGGTTAAGAGCTTGTTTTGAAGATAAAGTTTCCCTCTAAAAGATGGCATGGTTTGTGGATCCATAAAGTTTCATTAAGGTTGTTTTACAAGGTCTCATAGTTGCTATCCCAAAACTGGAAAACTGCCAGAATTTGGCTAAGACAGAAAACTGGTTTGTAAAGCCTACTTTGGAGCTCAATTCGAGGAGCATGGATCTTATTCGAGTGAAAAGAATTCCACAACATTTTTAACATTTTTAGAGTAGAATTTTACCTTATTTGTTTCCTTGTTCATTTAGGTTTGTATTAGGCTTTTTGGCTATAAATAGCCTTCTATTTTCATTGTAAAAGAGAGAAGACTTTGAT